TCTCTCTCTCTCTCTCTCTCTCTCTCTCTCTCTCTCTCTCTCCCCCTCTCCCTTTCTCTCTGAAATCAATAATAATATGTATAAAAAGAAAATGCACTTTGGCTCCTCTCCGTCAGCAACGTCTTTCATCTCGTGCGTTTGAATTCTCATCTCTAAGGGTTCGGATACATTCATCCCGTGGTGATGTGCATGCAACCTATGATGCTATACATTGATCTTCCCTTAACAGCATTAAAACAATCGAGGGATATTTCTGGATTTTAAAACGAATACACAAACACACTCAGACATGTCTTCACCCCAATGCCTACCTCAAGGAATTCTCCAGAGAAGGAAGCGAGTAAGATTCGTTTGGGATTATACACTGACTGGCCCCCATCTCTGCCCCTGTGACCGCATATTGCTAAAGTCCCAATCAGCATGTGTATGGCATTAATTATTCTGCTTCTGTTTTCATTCATTCACAGAAAGGCTGAATGTCATAAAAGATAAGAACCTGACCTTAGAGTTAGAATGGGGTTCGAGAGCCAGCCGTCTCTTACAAGAATCCTGATGTTTGGCAAACGTCTCGACCTCCATAAAACTTAATCCCCTTGTTTGTAAAAGGCGACGCTAAAAATAGCATCTCCTTAGCAGCATTGTTTATACGATTAAGTGAGATAATACTCATAAAATCCCTAGCACAGCTTATGGTGTATGGGGAAGCTCTAATGAATATTTCTATTATTATAATCTTACTAGAGGCCCGGTGCATGGGTTTGTGTACCGGTGGGGTGCCTCGGCCTGGCCTGTGGGGATTGGGCTGAAACCGGCTCTCCAACATCCCCCGAGGGGCCCCGGATTGAGAAGGTGGTTCTCGGGTGATGCACCCCAGAATCAAGCTCCGTCCTCTCTGGTTCCGGGTGCGTCCCCCGAGAACCACAGCTGCCAAGTCACCGCAGCTCGGCAGCTCCTGCGTTGAGCGTCTGGCCCCTGGTGGTCAGTGTGCCTCATAGCTACCGGCCAATCGGCCGGTCAGCTGGTCACTTAGGCTTTTATATATATACTAGAGGCCTGGTGCACGAAATTTGTGCACAGATAGGGTCCCTAGGCCTGGCCAGCGATCAGGGATGATCGGGGCCTTCCAGCTGCCTACCGGGGCCTCCCTTTGTTCCGTGCTGTCCCCTGTTGGTCAGAGCACGTCATAGCAAACGATCAGTCTCCCAGTGGAACTCCCGTGGGGACAATTTGCATATTAGGCTTTTATATAGATAGATAGATAGATAGATAGATAGATAGATAGATAGACCTGTATATGAACATGCTCTTTATTTTCATGGTTTCATGGTAGTCTAGAAGATTAATCAACAATGTTCTTTCTTTTTTATTACTGCTAGGAATTTGGGTTGTTTGAACTTATTTGGAGATACATGCCTCGTTGCTATAAATACCTACATATTAAATATTGTTTTTCTGCTCAGTTTATGTTCTTGAGGGATAGTCCAGCTGGAAGCGCAGAATGAAATGGGAGTTTTTTTATGGACCTTCTTGCAAGTTGCCAAATTCCCCTCCAGAGAAAAGTAAACCCATTTACAGAGAGCTGTGTGACATTATTAAACTCTTTCCTCACAGACACACTAGCTATGGGTTTTCATTATTTTTTACCCAGTTATTGGAGAAAAATCAGCATAAAATCAGACCCAAAACACTCAAATTTGCCTTTCTGTAATGACTACCAATTCAACTGGGTATATATAGGAAAACTCTATACCGTCTTCACAATTTTTCTGAGAACTTAAAACTGCTCTAAAAAAATAAAGTCCATGAAGAGGAAAAAAAAGTGTTTAGAAGGAAGTGACAAAGAACGCCTATAATTGTGATTAAAAGGATTGTATATACTTTTTTTTTTTTTAGAGGGAGAGAGAGAGAAACACCCATGTGTGAGTGAACATCAATCGGCGGCCTCCTGCACGCCCCCCACTGGGAATCGAGCCTGCCTCCCGGGCAACCTTTTGGTACACAGTACAACACCCAACCAACTGATCCGTACTGGCCAAGGCAAAACCATATATTTTTTTAATCGTGTATTTTTTTAAAATACATACATACATATATATATATATATTTTATTGATTTCAGAGAAGAAGGGAGAGGGAGAGAGTGAGATAGAAACATCAACCATGAGAGAGAATTACTGATTGGCTGCCTCCTGCACACACCCTACCGAGGATGGAGCGGCAACCTGGGCATGTGCCCTGGTCGGGAATCGAACTGTGACCTCCTGGCTCATAGGTCGACACTCAACCACTGAGCCACACTAGCCGGGCTCATGTATCTTTTCGATTGTTGAAATTATAATTATGTTTTCTCAAGTCTAAGAAAGATGTTCATTGTCTTGTGTCGCCTTTAGAGGACTGAATTCACTTATCCGGATGCTAAGGGAAGCCCCGGTTCCTCGGGGATGCCAGTGTGGGAGAAAAAGCAAGAGACTGAGCTATCGCCAAGGTTTCTCTTGCTCTTCACGGAGGGACACACGGAGATTGGGAAACTCAGCCGAGAAGACCAAGAGGCAACGAAGGGACACAAACCCAGACGGACGAGGCTGACTCGGCGAAACCCTTCAATGACTTTGCAAAAGGCTTGTCTCACTAGACACCAGGCGCCCACCTCCCGAAGAACCGGCGCAGAATCCCGGCAGACCCTTCGCAGTGCTGCCAGGGGGTAAGACGGAGGGAGGAAGAGACAAAAGAGGAACGGAAAGTAGTGACAGGCGGCCTCGGACCCCTGTGTCCTGTTTCAGCTCCAGCTGACACTCCATCGCCGGTCGTGGGGGAGGGCACGCGAGACAGGGAGCACATGTTCTCAGGATGACCCCGACCGCAGCCACTGGGTCGGGCGCCTGACACCGAATCCGTTCGACACGAACTAGAAAAGGCGCCTCTTTGATGGATGTCCTCTTGTTCCAGTTTACAGGCAAGTAATTCCCGCCGCATCGGATCCAACGGGCGGGCAGGATCAATTCAGAAAAAGCGAGCAACGCGGGGGCTGCTCAATCTTCCCTCTCCGAGAGCCACCGTGGAGAGGGGAGGGGAGGGAAAGGGAAGAGGGAGAGAGAAAATGTGGGCATGCCCGCACCCACAAGAGCTCAGCAAAGCAAAGTGGAGATGGACAGACAAGTCGAAAGACACATCCTGGCAGGCGGAGGATCTCGCTGTCAGAGGGAGAGGCCGACACACCAGGAGATGCTGCCAGGCTGGTGTAGCTCAGCGGTTGAGCATCGACCTATGAACCAAGAGGCCTCACCGGTTCGACTCCCGGTCAGGGCACATGCCCAGGTTGCGGGCTCGATCGCCAGTAGGGGGCGTGCAGGAGGCAGCGGATATCAATGATTCTCTCTCACTGATCTCTCTCATTGATGTTTCTATTTCTCTATCCCTCGATCTTCCTCACTCCCTAAAAAATCAATACAAATATATATTTAAAAACAACAACCACCATGAGATGCCAAACAGGCCCAAGACTCCGGGCGCTGGGGGTGTGGGAGGGACCAAGGACGGCGGGAGGAAGTGGTTGGAGTGTCAAAACCAAAGAAATCGGCCGCAGCCAGGGAGCGAGGTCTGCGTTTACTTAAGTTGCCGTGGACTATGATCTACAGCATGTGACGGGCGGGCCCATGAGTGCACGTGGGTAATTAAGTGTCAGGGAAGCCAGCGCCCCCAGAAGCAGTACACATTGATGCCGCCAGACCGTGCCAGGCTCAACCGACCGGCGATGGGGTGAGAAGCAGCCGGGAATAGCATCCGAACAGCGGCAGGAGGAAAATGAGTGAAAATGAGCTGGGAATCAGACAGACTCAAAGCACGAGGAGAGATTTTCCCATCATTCATCAGGAGGCACTTCCTCCCCCAGCAACTCCACGGCTCCATCCATCATTCCCTCGCTCCGAAGGTGGCCAAGGTCTGAGCCTGGCGTCCCCGGCATTTCCTGGTCCTTTCTTTCCTCGTGTGGGCCTTTAGCATCCCCGCCTCCCCCTGGGTCTGCTTCGGTCAAGTCTGAAATATGTGTCCACCGTGAAGACCATCAGAAGGGCTTATTTGGATAATGGCTCTCCCCCTCTTGACCCGCTCATGGTCGCCACAGCCCTCAGAGACCCGCCTCTCCCAGCCATGGCTCAGCCGGGCTCCCCGGGCCAACGTGTCAATCACCTTTACATGGTCTGAGAAGTGACGTCGCTATTTAAGAAGATGAAAACATTTCTTGCCCCCAAGTGCCTAGATATTGGCAATCATATTGTCCCCCTACCATTTTTTTTTTAATTTCAGAGAGGAAGGGAGAGGGGGAGAGAGAGCTAGAAACATCAATGATAAGAGAGAATCATTGAACAGCTGCCTCCCGCACACCCCCTTCTGGGGATCGAGCCCACAACCTGGGCACGTGCCCTTGCCCAGAATCGAACCCGGGACCCTTCAGTCCCCAGGCCAATGCTCTATCCACTGAGCCAAACCAGCTAGGGCTCTCCATATATATATATATATATTTTTTTTTTTTCTTTTTGCCAAGTAACAGATGACTCCAAATGATACCCATACATACATAAACATAACTGGCATATCTATCTATCTATCTATCTATCTATCTATCTATCTATCTATCTATCTATATGAAACCAGTGTCCGTGATGACCAGGACGACCAAACGACCAGACACCAATGAGGTGCATTGAGCACCTCTTGGTCCCTCCCCCGAGGCCTGCAGGCTCC